ATTCTAGTTAATTAATCTTAATGAATCTTAGAGTTTTTAAGTAGTTTTAATTTATTATTGTATTGTCTTTGAAAAGCCTCTAAAGGGAAAGTCAATAAAGTATGTATGTATGTATGTACTTTTTTTCAAACTTCAGTTATAAAACACAGATAATTCGTCAAAAAAGCGCTTCAAAGACTTTTGTCCATGATGGTAGGTCCCCTGGTGGGATGTTTGGCTAGAGTTTTCTGGTGGTTTTATAGTTACTCTGACGGGTCTTCGCTTCCATCCCGTGCGCAAAAACAGCGCTCCAACGTTCTATTCGATCTTCAATTTATGTATTATTATTTTTAGACGTGTTACTTATTGGGTAAATGGATATGGAGCCGGACTTGGACGTACAAGATTTAGACGTGGAAGTGGACATGAACATGGCCATGGAAATACAGTGCTTCTTCGTCGAGGTAGGCCTATTTCGAGTGCTGTTAGTACTTTATATGCTGCAATATACCGCAATATACCGTGTATCGAGTTGAAGACCCCACTATTATTAGTCAGTATTCATCCAAAGTTATTTCGAAATTTAAAAGTAAGACAGAATTTAACCTTGGATAATGTACTTTTTAGCTTTTGGATTGGTCCATGAAAACAATTATCCAACTCGTCCTTGTTTGCTATTATTCACATCGTATTCAACGTGAAATCAGGGGATAATTGTTAGCTATCAAAATGTCAGTCTGGATTTTGCATTTCCAGCCTTCTGATTGGTGCTCTGAATCTCGGTAACCAGCCATCGTCCCCGAAACAAATTCGTTATCAATTAAGGCGGAAGCAGACTTTCGGTAGAAAATTAAGGTTAGCACTTCAGTTCCCTTGCACTTGGGTAACTAGGTGAGCTTAATCGATACTCGTCAAATCAGAAATTAAACGCAGCAAATTAATTTAAGGTGACTCAAAACAGTTTCCAGCACTCTGATTTTTATGGGCCGTTATAACCTCTCTTTATCACTAGATGCTACAAAAATGGTATCAAAGAATTGCCCAATCGTTTTCGTGACACAATTAGTTACCATAGCAACAGTATGACCTACTAAAATCACTCTTAACTACAGCTTTAGGGGCTCAATTTAAAAACGGCACGTTAAATTTTTTTTATATTGTCAGATTTTGAGTATGATAAGATGATAAGACACAACTTTTGGCGAAGTTGATAAAAAATTCTGTACATAGGGTTCAGAGCCACCTTAACTTTTCAAAACGTTGACATCCCTTCGTTTAACGTTCCTTTGTTTAGATTAAACTGAAATGCCCGCATAGTCCAATCGATTACATAATTTAATAAAAAAATTATTCCACGAGTCCATGTACGATGCGAGATGATTATCTTAAACTCGGCGCCTCGCTCCTCGTTTGGTATTTATCACCTAGCGTCCAACGTGCCCTATTGAGGGGTTCGACCATCACCTATCAGTCTGAGCATAATGCCCAACAATACTGTTGGGCCTATTCGATAAATTTCGATCGCGTTGTGTCTCCACAGTACTGTAAGGGCACCACCTGTATTTCACCAAAAGCCAAGTATTTCGCGTAGCACTTTTGAGCAACCATTTTAAAGTGCCTATTTTGAAAACACCAGTGGGAGTAGACATTTTAAAATAATAATCAGTGTAGTATTAATAAGTACATCAGGTGTATTGGCTGAGGCTGTGGTTGCAGATAACTTACCTCCAGCTATCTCCAAACGAGACTTCGTCTGTGCCATGAGAGTTACCGTCTCCACCCTCTCTAAATTCGTGTTCCCTAATACCAATGCCGTTGAAATTGCCACACATGCCCTGTGTGTTACCTTCATTAGAAGATGGGGCTATCATTTCTACATTATTTCCCCAATAGTAGCGTTTAACATTTACCACTGTGCCTGACGGAAGTCTTACCTGAATAATTAACAAGATTACACCAAGTAAAGAAAAAAAAAAAAAAACATGTAGATAAGAATTAGCAACTATCATTGTTAAACACCATGAAACATGAAAAAGCAGTTTGAAGACTACGAAAATACTTCCTTACAATTATGTAAAAAACGTCCGGGCAATACGCCACACAAACACAGGACGAAAACAACAACAACAACAACAACAACAACAAAAAAACAAAACAAAACAACAAAAAAACAAGCAAACAAACAAACAAACCTAAAATAATCGATTCGCATTGTCGTCATTAAATTTGTATGAATTTAGCGGAAGATTCATATATAGAGGATATTACACGATGGAGAGAAGATATGAATTTTATGTTCGAGTGGCAAGAAATATTGAGATATTGCTCTTGCCATCAGAACATAAAATTCGTATCTTTGAGCTAACGTGTAATGTTCTTTTTATAATAAAGACATACTGATTACGGCGTTTGTAATGATTTTCCTAAGATTTTCGACCACTTTCCGAAGATTTCCGAAGATTCTCTAAAATTTTTCCGAAGGTCACACGATCGTTGCCGAACATTTCCGACAAATTCCAAAGGTTTCCGAAGATTACTGAAGATTGCCGAAGACTTTAGAGGAAGACTCGAGGATGTTTCGATCATACACCAACGAATTTAAGCACAGTTTAAGAGACCAACTTGATATCAGCGAAATCATCGATATCTTCAATAACGAGGATATGAAAATATGCCACCGAGTCCCGGATGTGGTTTCGTATGAATTTTATCCGTGGTGCATTTTCCAGTAAAACACTCGTGTCTATATAATAAAGAGTGCTTTCACTTGACGTCCGTCACAGCAGCCATATTGGTGTTCCAAAACAGTGAGGCTACAATGGAATGGCGACCATGTTGGTGTACCAAACCAATCCTGTGGGAGTTAAATTGACATATTTCTTAGGTAAACGCTGTTTTGTTCAGATAAATTTGCATGTGCGCTGGCCACGTGAGTGGAAAAGCTCTATTTGTATGTGGATCTTTCTTGGTGCATTTTGGCTGGAATCTCCTCCAACTTGAGGGAGCTTTGCACAAGGTATATTTAACAATTAGACCCGTAGCCCGCAAGGGCTACGGGTCAATAGCCCATTAGGCGAAGCCGAATGGCCTATTGACCCGTGGCCCTTGAGAGCGAAGTGTCTAATTGTTTTAATTAGTATCACCCAACTAGTCGGAGAGAAAAGGCAATTATAAAGTTAGCAAATGCAAGTTGAAGAAATATTTATTTGGGGATAAAACGAAAGAAAGCATCACGCTCAATTGCGCCAATTTCGCTACTCGAGGACTATTACTAATAGTCCTCTAGTAGCGTAGGCAATTAAAATGCAGGATTTGCATTAGTCCACTAGTTGGGTGCTACTAAATGCATTTAGTCGTAACCTCCCTTGTAAACTCTTTTGTGCGTTTCAATCTTAAAAAAATTATTATCATGATACTTCTTACCTCGTACTCACTATATCCTCCAGGATGTCGGAAGAGGATCCTTGTAACTCTTGTAAAGCGAAGTTAGCTTGGAATAAGAACCTTCATTGAACTTCCATAAATGTTTTTGAAATCATTAATACAGGTATTTAGAACAATTACGTCGCGGTACTCCCTGATAGCTACTCCACAGTTGCACGTTCGATCACTCCAGCAATTCCAGAGTCGGGTGTGAATCTGCAGTATTACATAATCGAGGAAAATGTATAAATATGAAGTAGGACCAGGAATCTATAGCTTTTTGCTTAAGTTTTTTATTCTTACCTCGAAGTTACGTTGACTGTTATGATAGAGGACAAAGTCTCCGGTCCCGTAATAATCGTAATATCTAGAGAAACGAGAAAGGAAAATTATTTGCTAGAGATCTGATGTTCAAAGTTATATTCTCATGAATTTGATGAGAATAAGCAAATTAATCACTTTAAGTACAATGAAATTTTCCTCTCTTTGATAGACTTTTTCCATGGTTATTTCATAAGAGCGATAGACCACTCTTTCTATGAGTTTACCGGCACAATAAACCACTCAGGATGTTGGGAGAACACTCCAAAACCTTGTAAATCACTCGCCTAACGACTCGTAAAACTTACAGAAAAAACTGCTTTATTTACCCTTGGCAGTATTTATAGCACAAAGTTTAGTGGGGCCGAGCAAACAACTGAAACAAATAATTCCAATTGAACATAACCTTGTTAAGGATCCCAACTGGCCAGAGGCAAACCAGTTTGGGAATGGTCCAGGTAATGGTCAGAGCGGACCTGGAACCCGGGACGGCTGAATTCCGAATCAGGCGCTTTTCGAGTGTTCTAACATCCCGCGTGGTTTATTGCGCAGGTAAGCCCATAGAAAGAGTGGTCTATTAAATAAATATACATACAATCCGTCAAACGTAGTGTAATGTGGGTCTCCAGTTGCTTTGCAAATACCGACAAGGTTCTCTATCTTTCTTACCTGCAAAAATTAAGGTAATAGATTTTGTGATATAAATCCTACCATAAACTTTTCCTCGTCCACTTTTGTTTTTCTTTTTTGCTATTTATTTTCAATTTTGGTATTACAACGTACGTACGGTAGGACTTACTGTGATTGCTGGAAGCTCATAGCCAAACCAAAAGTCGGTAAAAGATACCACTGAAAATGTGAACACTTGCGGGGAAAACTCTTGGTTTGTATTGTCACACACTGCCTGGACGGATATATTGGTCCATTCCATCTCTTCGCCAGGTTGTAGCGTTATGAGACAGCGCTCCGGAAGAGTTTGGCCCTGATCGAAGGTTTGTGTTACGCCGAAACGTAGAGTAATTGGATTACTGCCGCGTATGGGAAGAAATGGTCGGAGTTGTATTCGATGTGTCTCGCTCAGATCACATTCCTTGCGATCTAATCTTGTAGGATATGTCTGAGAAGTTACAAAAAAAGAGAGATACAAAGAATCGCTTCTTTGGTCTCAATGTATATAAATATATATATATATATATATATAATAATTTGGCAAATCTGCTGCTCAATAAAATTATAAAACCGCCAGTTGACAAGTTCCTTTTTTGATCATTGATGAGTTATGATTCCGGAAATGAAATTTGAATTATGTTGAGGTGGAGGCGACGTATTGCCGTATTCGTTTGTTCCAAGCAGCCAAAGTACAAGCTCAGATGTTGATCATTTCTTGTACGTACGGCCCGTAACAAAGGTCTCAAATCAAAACATTTTGACATAAATTATATCTTCCGTTGCATTGGAAACTTTCCACTTCTTCCCGAATTTTTTCAGCACTCCCAACCCCAAGAGTTTAGAGGATGCCAAAACCCACCTTTTGTGTGTGTGTATGTGTGTTTTACGATAAGCTGGTTGCAAATCTAAATGGCTTAGCCAAAATATTTGTAAGCACTGAGACAACTTAAGTGTCATTGTCACTAGGGACCAGGCAGGGTCCACGGATCGAGGTCGGCCGATTTCCTCCAAACTCTCAGCATTTTTTCCCTATCAGATAAGATAACGACCGTCGGTATTTTTATTAAAATAAAATAAATTTCATAGAATTTACACCACCCCCCTAGTTTTTGGTGCTATTTTGGCCACGTGAGACGGGAAATTTGAGTAAACTTCCATAAATGATATTACGTTTTCTGCATTAGCCTTATTCATTTATACGAACTGTACATACTTCCCAGCCTGTAAACAGCTCATGTCTCCAATATAAACGAATTTGGCTAAAAATAACTTACTTTGGA